GGGGGGGGGGGGGAATGAGAGGAGAGAAATTGGAGAGTGAGTATGAATGGCTCTTCCAAGAAATTTTACTGTTGTAGCTGACAAGGGAGAGGGGACAGGAGAATCACTAAGAAAGTTTGAGGACTTAAGTCATCTCAGCTATCTTAATGAGCCTCAAGATAGTATTTTTATCCGATTCTTGCTAATTTTTCTGCTCTCATTTTCCATAATTGTAGTCCCTTAATTTAGCCACACCAGCTTAGGCACAGGTCCCCAAACCATGTCTCCACTCATCAGTTCACTGGGCCTGAGATGTGCACCCTGGCCAGTCTTATTTCTCAAACCTGGCTAAATCTTATTTCTTCGTATCTCTTAGTAAGAGTCACGTTTTTCTAGAAGCATTTCAGAATCCCTCCCCCCCACCCCAGGCAAGGTCTGATTTTATTCCCCTGCTTCTAAAATATTCTGTACATATCTCTGGTGCCTTCAAAACATAGTTTTAGAATGATTTGGTGAAGGGGTAGTAGGTCTGATTGGTACACAGTAATAAATAGGACAGTAAAAGGATACAAAGGAGGGAAAAGCATTGCATTTTGTAGAATGAAACCCATTGTGAAGAGAAAGCAAATTACCAACAATATCAGATATACAAACATCTTGAAAATTAAAGGTTATAAAACTAAATGTCCGTCTTGTCACTGATTGCCAATATTTTGATGAATAGGTCATTCCTAGCCTATCTTTGTTCAAATGATTTGCATATATTATGCAAATAAACAGAACTACCTAAAGATTGCCCGTGAGGCGCCAGGCACCTGATACACTCCCCAGGACCCTTCGATTGGCCTGTCTACCCATCTCATTTGCATTACATGATTTAATAAATGAAAGGCCCCGCCCCTCTGACTCTTTCACGTCTCGCGAAAGAATGCGTGAGTTGAAACTCTTCCCCGGTTACGTATGCTCCGCCCTCAGCAGCTGATCCCCTCCGCCCGTCCTCCCGCTCCTCTCCTCTGCTGGAAGCACGAGGGGCTTGCATCTTTTCCTTCCACGGTCGGCGTCCCTACGTTTCTCCGCTCCCATCTTTCCACGAACACACGACGCACGCACCGCCTCTTCCTCCCCCCGTGCAAATTCTGAGCCCCAACCGCCGGGGCCACATCCCCGCCCCACGTCTCAACGGCCGACGCAGGTCCGCCTCTTCAGCCAATCGGTGTCCAGGCGCCTGTAAGTCCCTCCTTTTTATGCAAATAACTACGCCTGCTCCTCACGCCCCGCCTTTTTTTTTTTTTTAATAAGAGCAGCCCTGGAAGTAATGAGGGATAGAGTAGAACGCGCTCCGCCCCTTATGCAAATTAAGAGGCGTGTCTAGGCGCGGAAGGAGGCGGGAGTGGGGGGGCGCTCCCGGGGGCGGCGGTTGCCCGGATGGGCCGTTAGTCGGAGCCCTGCCGCGGAGGGAGCGAGGGAGACGGGAGGAGCCGTACCCGGCGCCATCCGCCGCCATCCGCCCCCGCCCCACCGCCATCCCACCCCGGGGAGCCCCTGGGCTCCGGTCCCGGATCCCCGCGCACCCGGCCAGGTGAGTCTGGGCGAGCTGAGTGCTGACGCCCTTTTCCAGCGCGGGAGCGGTGGGGGCAGTGGCAGCGGCGGCGGTGGCGGGCCTGGGGGAGGGGGGAGGACAAGCTGCCATTAGCCGCCGCCATTTTGTCCTCCTACAGCCGGGACCTGCCTTGCCCCTCCCCCTCCGATACCACCTCCTTGGGACCGGCACTTCCAGCCCCTCGCTCAGGGCTATAGCCTGCCCCTACCACCCGCCTTCTTGACTTAATGGGGCGACCCCCTCTCCTGGACCGGTAACTCCCCACCCTCCGCCGTGCGGCTCTCACCCCTCTCGGTCCCCTTCGCCGCCGCTCCGAGGTGGGCCACGCCCGGCGTCCTGTTGGAGAGTCTCCTTCCCGTGCCATCGCCCAGCGCTGGGGCCCCCGCCGTGACGCCCCTCTTGGCGTCGAGTCGCTCCCGCTCTGCAGCCGGCTCTGCTCCCGCGGCTCCGCTCCCGTTCCCGTCTCCCCTCCGTTTCCATTCCCGGCCCCATCTGCTCCCCAACACCCCTTCGCCCTGCTCTCGACCCGGCCCCCGAAACCTGGCCCTGCACCTTTCCCTGCCGCTGCTGCTTACGTGTTGGTTCCCGCCTGCTTTCATGTGCATGCTTTCATTTCAGCCTTAGTCTCTCCACGATTCTTCTATCCCCTTTTCCTCCATGGCTTTATTCTCAGAGATGGGCCTCCTCAGACACCTACACAGCAGTCCCCATCCTCTCCCCTAACCTGCCCTGACTCCCCGTCCAGCTCCCGTGCGCACCGCCCGCCCCACCTCCGTCTCTGCCCTTTCCGCCATCCCCGGTAAACGGGCTGCTCCCTCCACACGCCCGGCCTGCGGGGCTCGGCCTGCTGGGAGCGGGGCGCCAGGGAGAGACATGGCTGCTGGCGGCCTGTCTCACTGAGGGAGGAGGTGCAGTTAGCTCTGGCCGCGGCCTCGTGGTCACAGGGTGTTGGTGAAGTGGCTCCGTAACGCTGGGTTTTTCTCACGGCCTCGTCCTCGTCGGTCAGCCAGGACGCCCGGGGCACCTGCGGACTGGGACGGGCCTTCTCGCGGCTGGGCCTGTGCCTTTGTGGTGTGTGGAGCCCCGTCCCTCGGGAATTCTCTGGCGCTGGCCTCCGTCCGCAGAGCCAGCGCCTGGAGTCCTCAGACTCCTGGCAGACCTTGCTGCTCGCCTCCCCAGGTGGGGGTGAGGTGCTGGGAAGCAGTTGGGGTGCTGACTAAGTCGGGCTCTAAAGCTCTGTCCTTGCATGATGGAGCCGGACGCCTCTGGTTTTCTCTGGGGCTTGGACGTGCCCTGTTTTATTTCAGGTCTTAGAAATTCTTTTGGTGAAGAGATTATTGCTCGTGGGGGTTGTGAAGAGGCTGCTGCCCTTTATAGACTGGCACAGGAGGGAGAGTTTATCCTAGGAGGCTACTAGACTTTTACTTGGATTTTCTTGGCAGGAGGTGAGAGGGAACATGGTGTTTGGGCTCTGTGGTTGCCTTGAAGGGACTGGAGAGTTTGAATAGGCTGAAGGAAGAGACACCAGAGGGCCACGGACCTGGGCTCCTAGTGAGAAGGAAAGAGCTACTGAAGTCTGTAAAGGGAGCAAAAAATGAAACACTTGGTGTTTGGCCCACAGGCTCCGGCACGTTTTGGGGGAGGTGCCTGTAGGACCCATCGTACTCAATGAGCTTCCAGCGCAATGTCCGATCGCTCGGGGCCGACTGCCAAGGGGAAGGATGGAAAGAAGTATTCCTCGCTCAACCTGTTTGATACGTACAAGGGCAAGTCCTTAGAGATCCAGAAACCCGCTGGTGAGGGTCCTGCAAAAATGCTTCTAATTATTGGAGGCTGGGCATGAATGGGCACGCACTTTAGAGCACTTGGAAGGGAAATGGCTACAATACAATTTGTCAAAAAACTAGAGGAACACTAGAGACTCCCCAACTTCATCTTGGATTCCATAGAGGACATTGGGCTTGGAGTAAACACCAATCACCCTCCTACAAAGGCGTGTCTGTGGTTCCCTGTCTTTGGACACGTAAGAACTGGAGGCAAAGCAATGTGGACTTGGAGAAGTCTGGAGCCAGCTTGCTCCCTGCAGGCTCAAGATCAACCATCCCACATAGAGCCTTGGATGGAATGCCTCTCGGCCTGCCCATAGGATTTCAGAGATTGCTGAGGGCACAGGAAGGGGTGGTTTCTAAGAGAAGTTTGGTAGTAAGGCATGGAGGATATCTTAGTGGTACACAGAGTAGGACACCGTCAGATCTCCCATGTGAAGCATTCTTCACCCTCTCTCCTTTTCTCCAGTTGCCCCTCGCCATGGCCTGCAGAGTCTTGGGAAAGTTGCCATTGCCCGGCGTATGCCACCCCCAGCCAACCTTCCAAGCCTGAAAGCCGAGAATAAAGGCAATGACCCCAATGTCTCACTAGTGCCGAAAGACGGAACAGGATGGGCAAGCAAACAGGAGCAGTCCGACCCCAAGAGGTAGAGAGAGGCTTGGGAGACCTAGAGTGATAAGTATTTTTATGTTGAACTTCGGGATGAACTGGGCTTGGTCTAGCCCAGCCACATAGCCAGAATCAAAGAGGGAAGCCCCTCTCCTGCCTCTTTCCCGGGACTCCTGTTCGATGCCTAAGGAATGGGACTTTAGCTTTCTGTCTGAGGGAAACAGCAAGCAGAAACGGTGACAGCCTGTGCGGGTGCCATGGTTCTAGTATTTTGTCCTAATGTGTGCAACTAATAGCAGAGGGGCCTGCATTCCATTCCTATCCTCCTCCAGCGGGAGGAGTAAGGAAGGCACCTCAGGCTCTGGGTAACCTTCCCTCCTTCCATCCCCTCAGTTCCGATGCGTCAACCGCTCAGCCGCCGGAATCGCAGCCACTGCCGGCTTCACAGACGCCTGCCTCGAACCAGCCGAAACGACCCCCAGCAGCCCCCGAGGTATCTGAAGCACCGGATGTTATTGAAGGGGTAGGAGCAAGAATGGCTTGTAGCTCCCCACCTACGTCACCGTTTCTTTTCTCTGCTTCTCCAGAACACTCCTTCGGTTCCAAGCGGGGTAAAGTCCTGGGCACAAACCAGCGTCACCCATGGAGCACATGGAGATGGTGAGTGCGGGCAGTTGGGGAGCTGGCTCTGGGCACTGGTAGGCAGGAGCCCTGCCCGCACCTTCAGTGCAGTGTCCTCACTCCTGTTTGGCTCCATGTGGGGCCCGCCCTCAGTTCCGTGGCGCACATGAGCAAGTTGTGTCAGTCTTGTATGAGGGTGAGGAGGGCACCCAAGAACTGACCGTGTTTCTTAGGGAATAGGCACCTAATGCAGAGGGTGGGCTGGAAGGCAGGAAGCTGGTGACCTGGTACCTATCGGAACCTTCCCCTTTAGTGGGGCATCTTCAGTAAATGTACTTCTGTATCCTGTTCTGCTTTCCAACCTCAACAGGTGGAAGGGCATCAAGCCTACTGTCACGATTCTCTCGAGAGGAATTTCCGACCCTGCAGGCGGCTGGCGACCAGGACAAGGCTGCCAAGGAAAGGGAGTCTGCCGAACAGTCGTCTGGGCCCGGACCAAGCCTCCGCCCCCAGAGTGAGTGGCTGCCATTTGGGAGGGGGCTGTGGGTACGTGAGGGCTTACCTTTGGGCTGGGATATTACCTTATTCTACCTCGGAGCTAGTGCGTCTCGTCATTTTCAGCCCTGTTCGCTCTCTGCCTTTTCCAAAATCCAGATTCTACAACTTGGAGGGACGGAGGTGGGCGTGGCCCTGATGAGCTGGAGGGCCTGGACTCCAAACTTCATCACGGCCATGATCCCCGGGGGGGACTGCAGCCTTCCGGCCCACCCCAGTTCCCTCCCTACCGAGGAATGATGCCGCCCTTCGTGAGTTGGGATGTCTTGTTTGGCGTGGTTGCACTGGAAGATAGAAGTTGGGATTTACTCTCTGGAGGGTACAGCTGGAAAGCAGGGGCCTATGATATAGAGTGGGAATGGGGAGAAGGTAGGTTTAGGGAGCTGGCAGGCTCTTTGACCATCCCTCTGAGCAGTTGCTTTTGGGCCCTTTTGCAGATGTATCCCCCGTATCTCCCATTCCCTCCACCCTATGGACCCCAGGGGCCTTACCGATACCCCACCCCTGACGGGCCCAGGTGAGTAATGCCAGGTCAGGTCTGGGTTTGTGACTGGGGACGGGGGAGCCTGTTGGTGGAGTGATGATTTTCTAGCCAGGAGGCTGTCTTATATACACTGGGCTATCTTTTACCTTCTCTTCCATTTGCTTTTTCATACACAGCCGTTTTCCCCGTGTGGTAGGCCCCCGGGGCTCAGGGCCGCCAATGCGCCTTATGGAGCCTATGGGTCGGCCCTCCATTCTTAAAGAGGATAATCTCAAAGAGTTTGACCAGCTGGACCAGGAGAACGATGATGGTTGGGCAGGCAAGTTAATTTTGTGTGTGTGTGTTCATCCTCACCCGAGGATTTTTTCTTTTCCATTGCTTTTCAGAGAGTGGAAGGGAGAGAAAGAAGGAGAGAAGGGAAAGAGAGACATCTATGTGAGAGAGACATTGACTGGTTGCCTCCCCCACTCACCCAACTCGGGGGTGGGGAGTAAACCTGCAACTGTGGTATGTGCCTTTGAGAATCGAAACCAGGATCCTTCAGTGTGCGGGCCAACACTCTGACCATTGAGCACACTGGCCAGGGTCAGGTAAATGAATATTAAGGATCAAGAATTTTGGTCTTGCCGAAACCGGTTTGGCTCAGTGGATAGAGCCTCGGCCTGTGGACTGAAAGGTCCCAGGTTCGATTCCGGTCAAGGGCATGTACCTGGGTTGCGGGCACATCCCCAGTAGGAGATGTGCAGGAGGCAGCTGATCGATGTTTCTCTCTCATCAATGTTTCTAACTCTCTCTTCCTCTCTGTAAAAAATCAATAAAAAATATATTTAAAAAAAAAAAGAATTTTGGTCTTAAAAGGCAAGATCTGATAAGGAAAAAATACACTGATGGGTAGGGGAGATAATGTGCAGGAAAGCCAAGTCCTGGAGATGAACTGTAAGGATTGAGAAGGACAAGACTCCAGTGGGTCCAGACTTCAGAGAGAGGGGTGGCATTGGTGGTGCAAGTCATCGTATAGCTCCAGACCACTGCCTCTGTCCCAGAAGCTCCCTGAGATTGGAAAGCAGAGTAGTGGAGTTACTGCTCTTCACATTTCCCCCCAGGGGCTCACGAGGAGGTTGACTACACTGAAAAGCTCAAGTTCAGTGATGAGGAGGACGGACGAGACTCCGATGAGGAGGGAGCTGAGGGCCAGTGAGTTAAGGCCCTCTGGGGAGGGGAGGGGTGGGGCGGGGCTCCGTTTCTCAGACTAGTACACCCTTAAAGGAGCTGGGTCGCAGCTGATTTTAAATCCACTGTTGGTCTGCTCACAGCAAAGAGTCCCAGGCAACTGCTGGGGAGGAACGGCCCCCGGAAGCAGATGGCAGAAAGGGCAACTCCGCTGGCAGTGAGCCGCCCCCTCCCAAGACGGCCTGGGCAGAGACCACTCGGCCTCCAGAGACAGAGTCGGGGCCTCCTGCCCCGAAGCCTCCCCCACCCCCCGCACCGCACCGGGGCCCCACTGGGAACTGGGGCCCTCCTGGCGATTACCCAGTGAGTGTCTACAATGCGCGTTTGAGAGGGTCAGTTGTGGCTGATAGTGTCAGCTGCATGATTGAAGGAGCAGTAATTGAGGAAGCTGGAGGGCGGGTCAAAATGGGCTGCAGGAAGTGGAGAGCTTGGGAGAATCTCTGA